CCTTTACCGTTGGTTCACCCTCCAATGGCCACCGCGGCCAGCGCACTGCGGCCGGCGCACCGCGCTGATCCGATGGCAGGAGCCAGGTACTTATCCTGGTCTCCCACGGGGTGCAGGGCCCAAGCACTTGGGCCATTCTCCATTGCACTCCCTGGCCACAGCAGAGAGCTGGCCTGGAAGAGGAGCAACTGGGACAGAATCCGGCGCCCCGACCAGGACTAGAACCCGGTGTGCCGGTGCCGCTAGGTGGAGGATTAGCCTAGTGAGCCACGGCGCCGGCCAATATGCAGTTATCTTAATTTTTAAAGACTTAAGTTGTGGGACTGGGCTCAGAAACCAAGGCTACCATCATGAGCTCAGCTTTCAACCTCCTGGATGCCCTTCTGACTGTAGACAGTGTTTGTTGTTCTTCTTGCATTTTACTGCATTGTTCCTGGACACACCAACAAGTTGCTTGTACCGTGCATTGTCGGGGTAGCTCTCAGAAGCTCAGAGTTGTTAGACTTGAAAGTGACTAATTCGTGTCCTCCTTGGTCTTATAACCTGACTAATTAGAAAATGTGCAAACAGTGTTGACAGATAGATGACTTTATGTAGCTCATGAACTCAAATTCTCATTGTTACTAGTATTCTTAAAATAGACTCATTCATTTTAGCAGAAAGGGTAAATGAGTAATGACTAGGAGTTGGGAAATTAAATGGCAGCATAGATACTGACTAGTCCTCAGAAAAGGTGTTCAGTCCAATGATTTATGTCTTAATTTATTAAAAAAAATCCTCCTCGAATAAAACTGGATAGCAGAACCTGCAAGAATATTAGGATGTCAGGAGAGAAAGGCAGAGAGTTCAGCAAGAGTGAAAGCCAGCCATTACTGTATTTAAACTGTGCTCAGAATATAAACTAAATTATAAAACAGAAATTATAATGTATTTGTGTTTTTAGTCACTTCAGTAGTAAAATACAGACCAATTTTTATTAACAATTTTAAGACATTATGTAATATGCTATAAAGAGAAAGGGCTTTGAGAAGGTTGGCCTTGAGTTTGAATGTTGGCTCCATTTACACTATGACCTTAGCTACATTATTTAGTCTCTCTGGGTTGTTTTCTTTAACTGCATGATAGTATAATAGGTAAGTAATTAAAAAGCTTAACAGTGCTTGGAATACAGTTTGTATTCCATAAAAGCACCTATTATTTTTACTATTTTCATTATTCAAATTTCAAATTAAGACATAGGACCTTATATATATTAAATTTATATTCAGGGTGGAGCTGTAGTAGGGTTCATTTATGATTGTCTTTACTAAGACACTGGTAGGGAAACTTATTTTGTTATATATATTTCCTTGGTTCATGAGAGAGTATTAAAGATGATGACAGGATTTTAGATATTGCCAATGTATATGATGATTAGGCTTACTTAATAAAAAGTAATTTTAAATGGACTTATAATACTTAGTGAACAGGTAATTTCTTTTCTGATATATGCAGAATCAATTTTGACACAGACTTCTCTCTATAAAGACTGGTATGGAAATTTTTTTCCTAACCACACAGCTGCTACAATGTTAAATAAATTAATTTTAATCTTAAATCAGAGATGTAATAGAGAAACGAGTGATTTAATATGCAATCTCATTACATTTGACAGGCTTATTTATAAATGATTTGCCCCACATTTTGACAAGCATAGTTAATATGTTAATTAGCTTTTAAAAGATGATAGAAGCAAGAGACTGCCACGCTATCTCTCTTTACACGCTGTGTTGGGGAGCACTGTGGTTGATACCACAGGGTAGTGCTACTTTATTCTGGCCCCTCAAAAGCACTGTGATAATCATTTATTAGCGACATAACTTAGTCACTCTATATTAAAAATTAATCTGTTAAAATGATCCCAAGTGACCTTATGCTTTAGAAAACAACTGTAGTTCTGAATATATTGATGAGCCTGTATGCAGGCATATAAGGCCTATTTACAGCAGTGACCTCCACAGCTGGAGCTGGAGCAGAGCTCCCTGGCCAGGGAACAGTGGCCTAGATAAGCTGCTTTTCACATCTGCACTTCTCTGAATATGATTTTCAGAACTTGGTAAAAGCCTTTTTTGGTTTGGAAGCTTAGCAATGATTTCCTATGCCTTGACTTTCAAAGAGTTATAAAATCCAAGAATTAAGAGAAGTTATACCAAGATGCGATTCTTCTGCTTACATCCTCCATTATGGAGGGAGACAAAGGTATCAAAAACGGTCTGTCTCGATGAGTCCTCAAATGGCACAGCACATTTGTACATTAGAGCAGTATTACAGACTGCAAGGACATGGCCAGCTCTGATTTCTATCACCTGCTGACAGTGCTCATGCGCATGTATCTTCGTTAATATTTTTATTGCCTGTGGCTATTTAAACAGAAAACTGGAAAACCTAACACCTGTAGGGATCGTTAGTTTTTAGTTACTACCCTTCTGCCCAAGGATGGTAAATGATCTGTAAAAAGAGCCTGACACTACTGCCACCTGCCTCCCTGCCGTTGTCCATGGGTTAATATTTGCACTTCTTTTGTGGTGCGGCTGAGCCATGACTCAATTATGGTCCCATTTCTAAGTCCCTGAATGCTCAGCATCGATGTCACTGATTAGGCAGAAATCAGTGCCCTGTGAACTCTCTCTGCTGGAAACACACATCCATTTTACCTTACACCATAATAACAAAATGGCTTCTAGGAATAGGCTTGGAATGAAATCAGATTCATAATGACAGGCATAGTACAGGCATAACTTAGATTTTAGAGCTTAGAAGTGAAGAACCAATAGGCACGGGAACTGCTCAAACCTAACACATTTGCTGTTTGTTTTTGGCAATGAATAATCTTGGCATGTAGACAAAAGGGCATTTGGGGGTCTACTATTTTCTATCAGTTTTCAACCCTTTCACTTACATAACAGTCTTCTTCTTTTGCTTCCATTGTGTCTGTGTTCAAAGCAAATTGCCACAGAGCGCTTCCCCCAGCAGAGTAAATAAACACACACATGCACACACACATGCAAATGTGCACATGCACATGCACATAAATGAAGAAATGGGAGTGGGAAAGAGGCTCAGACTGGAAAAAATACTACACATCAAGAGACCGGTATATTAGCAAGTCCCAGCCCATGTGATTCTCTGCACTTTAAAGAGCACTTCGTAAGGGTTTGGGGGAAATTATCTATTGGCGTATAAAAGACAGCTTCACCTGATGATGAGGGTACAGTCTTCACTGAACCGCCAAGTAACAGACAAAACTGGTTCCAAGCCACAAATGGTTGCAAACTATGTTTCATTAAGAGAGTCCTTAACTGACCTCATTGAAAGACAATCTAGAATTTACACGCATGCACACACACACCAGAGAAAAACATGCCAAAACTTAAGACCCTGAGTCTGCCAAGCCACTCTCAACTACGAGGCAGAAAGCAGGAACAGAGTGAGAAAGCTGGGAAGTAACATCCTGATGCCGCCATTGGCCCTTGTTTCCAGTCTCTTCCTCGGCTACAATTAATGTGTTAAATATCCATTTTGCCCAAATCCCAGCCTAGTCTTATGGGGGGAAAAAACCCCAACTGTGTAAACGACATTCCCTGCTGCCCTCCTCAACCCACACACAAAGTCAGAAAGTGTGATGAAAAAGTGAATTAGCCAAGCCCCTCAATGTTAGATGATCATCTTTACTCTCGGTGTTTTACAATATCATTAAAGTGGTAATGGATTTATTTACAAGGCACAATGAAACTTATGACAACTAATCTGAGATGTTGGATGACCTAGATTTATTTATAGCTCTGTTGAGAGCTATAGATCTACACTCCATAAAAATAAATACATCCATGTGTACACAAAAAGCAGCATATATTTTTAGTGGCTTTATAGATCCCAAAGTCCCATTCCTAGGGAGGTTGCAGGAATCTAAATTATGAAGGTTACTGTACCCTACATAGCAAGGAATGTGACTGTTTTCTCAGCCTCAAATTTTTGGATCCAAAACATCAGAAAAGCAGCCAGGCCTCATCAGAGTCTCATTTACTAAAAGCCAAGATGACTGGAGATACAGCAGTGAAGTAAGTACACAGCAGTAAGATACACACCACATGCTGAAGTCTTTCTGAGGCCAAACATTCTATGAACGTGTAGTTCAAGTCTATATATGGGTGCATAATAATTCAGGGAAGAGATGATCCCTACCATAAAAGAGCCATGTACTGTGTGAGCTGCTTACTTTGAACACAACCATGAGCTCAGAAAAAGGACTTTTCTGTTAATAAAGGACAAGCTGAATGATCACTAGAAAGCCCATCCTGGATGACAAAAAGAAGGCTGATCACTTATTTGATCACTTGATTTAGACCTCTCCTTATGGGCAAGTCAGCACACTTTACCATTCATTATACATTAGCTCTTGCCAGTCACTGAACCTCTATTGAGGACTTCTAAATTTGCTAAACTATTACCTGACAATGAGGCCCTCCTAAAGTTTCAGTAATTGTTTGACTTCATTTTGGATAACTGACACCATCAGTTTTCAGAGATATAGCGCTTAAGTCTCAACAAAATTTTCAGACCACTTATCTGAGCTTTGTTGTGAATTTAAGCATGCCCACGGTTTCTTCCAACACAGCTGAAATTTGAAATATATATGTGTGTGTGTATAGACAGATAACCTTGTTACGAAATAAAGCCACAAACTAAGACCCCTAGGGAGAAAACTCAGTACTGACAGTTAGAAAAATGTCTCTGCCCCTGTCGATCAAGAACCATTACCAGACACCATCTGCAAAGGAGACTCTGATTAGAGAGCATTCCCAATCAGGTTTTCAAAAAACGCAGCAGTGTTGTGACACCCAGGCAAACACTCCTGCCCACGCACCATTAATCTTCATTCAGACTGTTAGGAGGTTTGTCTAGGCTTGACCCAGACCAAGCACAGTGGACAGACTAGGCAGAGTGAAGCTTCCGTTTCTCACCACATGTCAAGGCAGGTGGAATATTCTGTGGAGCCCAGGAGCACGTCCGGAGGCCTGTACCACAGGGTAACCACTTCGTTGGAGTATGTGTGGCTGGGGACGGACTTTGCTCGTGCAAGACCTGTAGGTTACATGAAACACAAACAAGTTTAATGGGCACTAATGGAACGAGGGTTTTAAGTCTGAATGTTCACAGTTCTGAAAGGTCAAACACGATATGGCAATTCAGAGTCATGAATGTAATGTTGAAGTTAATAGAAAATCTGGGGAGAGCATATGGTGGTTTCTCTTTTGAATACATGCTAATAACCATTAAATTATTTATATTTCATAATAGCACTCTGGTTTCACAAATCTAATAAGATATCAGTTAAGTAAACAAGTAGTTCATAAGCCAATAGATATAAAACAGAGGCTTAAAATCCCTGGGGTTTTCCAAAGTATGCTTCATAGAGCTCTAGTTCTGAGAGTTACGAATGTGTAAGTATTATCCGAAAAGCTTCTCTGGTCAAAGAACTTTGAGAAAAGAAAGGTTTAGGAAGTAAAACTGTCTCCAAATTGTAAGACTTCTCAGTGGTCTTGATTTTTCTCATCTGTAAGAAGATGGCAGGACACTTTCCTCACAGGGCTGTTCTAAAGCTGCCTGTGATTTGAGCATTATCAGGTCATCACCATGAAATGCTGACTGGGGAAGATCAATTGAAAACCACCCACTTCCAAAGGAACAGTCAAATAAATGTGGTACCCACAGATGATGAGATTGCACACAATGAACGAAAATGCCTTCTTAAAATTTCTTAACACTGAGAGCATGGTCACAGTAAGACAGTAAATGAAAAAAATAGATGCAGTTTATCTCTGTTACTATAAATTAATGCATAGGAAAAAGACTGGCAGGAAATATATCTAAACATCTTCAGTGATTACCTCTCAACTTTAGGATTATACAATTTTCTTATATTTTTGTAAGATTTTCTAAGGATTTTCCAAGTTTGAGGTAATGAAAATAAAATTCTTCAAAATATAAAACCAACACATGTCATTTTTGAAAAGAAAAAAAACCTCCTTGTGACAGCTCTCTATCTGGCTTTGTTCTTTAAAACAAATATAAAGTATTTACCATTGTGACATTCCAAGCACATAAAACATTTTTATAGTGATCCTACCATGACATATTCATTTAAATTTTTATTGTAGTATTTAGGAAAATGACTTTTTCCTTTTATGGTATTCCATTGTGTTATATGTAAATGCAAAAATTAATAAAAGTGAACAAAAAATTGTCTTATTAATTTAGTTATGGTTACAGTCAATTTTATTCTACAAAGCCAGTTTATAAAATGTAATGTCATGCCATAGACTGGTTAACATTTATGAGTATTCGATATTTGCACATGCAGATTATCCAAACACACACATGCATACACTTTTATGGTCCCTACTTTTTCAGCACACGAGTGGAATACCTATTTTGATAACACATTTCCATAATAATCCCTTACTTTTTTCCTCTGCAGTTTCGTCTTACTTCAACTCAGGCAAAACTAATAACAGACAGGACCATCAAGACAGCATAATGCCTCTGGAATTTAGGTAATCTCATCAAAACGTTTTGCTCTTCAAATGACTGAGCTTCCATATAGACTAAACAGCAAAATACAAGTCCTGAAAATAGGTTCTGACTTGTTCCATGTGCTGTTGTCAAGTCAAATGGGAGGCAAAAAAACATTCAGCCTGGATTCCCTTGGTTTTCCCAAGGCCCTGTTATCAGAAAGTGAGGCCAGAGGGGCGTGAGAATGCAAACATCCCAGGCTTTCTATGACAGCTCAGATGACCACGCTGGTTTCAAAAAACTGTGATATTCTCACTTGTAAAGGGAAACCAAGACCTTGAAAATAACCTGGAAAATACTAGCAATCAAGATAATTGTATATAATTTCAGTTCAATTATGTTAATGCTAAATATGAGTTTGTTCAACTGGTTTAATACTTGTGGAAAATATAAACAGAAAAATTCTTTTGCTATATTGTTCTCTCCTTCCCACATATATAAATTAAAGAACGTCCCAACTTTATTCAAATGAGTCACATAACTTTACAAAACAACAGTGAAAATGGGTTTTCAATATGTAACTTTTTAAAGTGTGAAGACTCCGTTTCATAAGAGTTTGCACGTAAAGTGTCAAAGAATGAAGACTGTTGTTATAGTTTTTTAACAAAAGATTGATTTATTTAAGAGTTACAGTTACAGACAGTGAGAAGGAGAGAGAGAGAGAGAGAGAGAGGTCTTCCATTTGCTGGTTCACTCCCCAAATGGCCACAATGGCCGGAGCTGAAGCCAGGAGCCTGGAGTTTCTTTCAGGTCTCCCATGTGGGTGCAGGGGCCCAGACACTTGGGCCATCTTCCACTGCTTTTTCAGGCCATAAGCAGAGAGCTAGATTCATCCTGGTGCCCACATGGGAGATGCTGGTGCCACAGGTGGAGGCTTAACCTACTCTGCCACAGTGCTGGCCCCACAATTTCAAGACGCATTCTTCTGCATCACTTGAGAAACATTCTCTCATCATTTCACTTTATCAATTAAAATAGTTTCATGTGAAAAGTGTGCTGTGTATTGATGAACAAAAGGTCTTCATCTTAAAAATATTTGGTTAATAACACAAATGAATCCCAATACTGTTCAGGAAAGTAGCAAAGTATTAAAACAATGCCAAAACAAAGAAGGGAAGGAAGAAAGAAAAAAGACTGAACAGATGAATGAATACCGTGAAGTACGTATGGAGCTACATTTTTCCCAAATAATTTTGGTAAAGATACCACAAGGTATTTACACAGTTCATGCATCAAAACATGCTCACTCATGCAAAATTTATTAAACTGCACCCCCAAGCTGAAGGAAAACCGTAGGACAGGATTAATTAGCCCAGCATGTGTGAAAGCTTGCTTTCTCTGTTCCTTGTCAGTTGCTATGGTTACACTACAGGAAGAAAGCTACACCACCTTTCATAAAAGATGAAGTTCATGGGTTATTACCAAAACTTCTTATATTAATGTTTAGCTTGAATTAAAAGTCAAAAAGCAAAGTGAAATGCTAACCTGTGTGTACAGGTTATGTGCACACTGCTGCTTTGGCTGAGGGTGTGCACATGACGGGGGCCAAGTTCTACAGGCATCTCACAGGGCTTCCATAACTCAGTGCATCTAACATTTTAAGATGCTGCCATTCTACCTCATGAAAGACCCTGAAGCAGGTGGGAAAATCCTGCTACGAGTTAAGAAGCTTTCTAACCTCTAACCAAAGACTCTCAGTACAGTGGTTACCTTGTAGATAACATCATTGGCACACAGAGCCTGGCACTTCCCTCTGGCATGTACACAGAGTAAATTATAGGACAGGGCTTCCAACACTTGCCCTAGGCACATGCATCATTCAGCAGCAAATGAAGGAGACCCCTTGGGTCTTGTCCTAAAGCTCCCAGTGTTGCTTTAGTCTCTGCTACCACACCCCTTCTTCACATTTTTCTCCCTTTCTTTTGCAGATACAGATGCTAGTGAACAAGGAATGACTTAGTCTTTCTTCTATTTGTTTCTTAAGTGCTGATTGTGTTTAAGGCATCAATGTAGCCACTGTAGGTCATGCTTCTAACTGCCGTCCACAGGTGATTTCTCCCTAAAATTTTATCTTTGGCTCAAGCCCATCCTTGGGCTTCAGATCTGGTTCTACTCAACAACCACAGGACATAGGTACTGAGATGTCCCACAGGCACTCAGCACAACCCCGAACTGAATTAATAAAGGGAACATGTCCTAAGAGTCCAAGAGCAAATGCATCTTACCAGTAAACTGCTTAGTTCTCAAAACAGCCCCAGCTCTTCTAGGTGTGCAGAGATAAAAATCACATATCATCTTCCATGCATACCCAACTATTCCTTCAAATTCCAGTGCATCCTTTTTCGTAGGTGGTGAAACTGGTTGGGGAGCTGAATAATCTGTTTAGCTCTATGGAGAAAACTGCTGAACCTAGGACAGGATTCAAGAATGCCCACTTCCATTTTTCTGCTTTGCAGCATTAAGAGAGAACTGGAAGCACTGGCTTGGTCCTTTAAGTAGAATGAATAATGACAAAACTCAGATGAATCTGCAGTAGTCTACTAAAATACAGTAAGAGGAGCTACTTTTTTTTTTTTTCAAAAAACATTTTCTTTCTTTATTTTAAAAATTTTATTTATTTGAAAGGCAGAATTTGAGTTTTTTTAATCCAAATTTTTCTTTGGTTCAGTATATTCAACCTGATTACAATTATTACCACAGCTGACAGATTTCACATTTTCTTTTCATCTTTTTCCAATATTTGTATTTATTATATTTTCCTTGCTTTTTCTTTTTTTATACTCTACTCTTGTTTGCATTATTTACTAATGTTTTCTTAACAAATGAACAGTCACTTTCCTTCTCTCAATCCCTATGACACTCACATATTTCTACTATGTTGACATGTTATTGAGACTCCAAGGGTGAGCATTTGGCCCGTTAAGTTGGGATGCCTGTATGCCATGCTGGAGTGCCTGGGTTCAAGTCCAGGTCCTACTCCTGAGCCTGGCTTCCTACTAGACTTCACAGTGGGTGACAGCGGATAATGGCTCAAGTCCCTGCCATCCTTGTAGGAGATCTGACTGGAGTCCTGGACTTGTGGGCATGTAGGGAGTGACTCAGCAGGTAGGAGCTTTCTGTTTCCCAAATTAAATAAAAGATGGCAACAATTCCCTCAGACACATTCTACTGCACCCCTAAATGGATAAGAACTTCAAAATTCTTTTCTTTTCCCACTCCAACTCTCCCAATTCCCATAAATAAAAAAGGTCCCTCTTGGAAAAGCCTTTTATTTCTCCACGCTGGCCCTCCCCCAAGAACAATGTTTTTACTTCTGACTTTCTATCTCCTAACACCTAGATTTTGCTGCGATTGTCTAGAATATTCAGTTGTAGACTTTTATTAATTTTCCTTTGTAGTACACTTTTAATTAGAAAATGGAACACGTTTAACCTTAACTGAATTGACACTCACTCTAGCTTTTAACTGTCTCAGTTACAAAAAAAATACCATTACATGGGGCCAGCGTA